CACATTAGTATGCTCTATTTGGTTAGGCTTTATGCTAGATTTAGTTCGCTATCGCAGAAAATGCATACGCATTAGTTGTTAAGCGAGCTTGCGGGTCCGTACCTTAAATATAAAGTCTAATAAATAGATAGCTGTTTCATTTGGCATTGAAAAATGAAAACTGTGTGTATAGAAGTCAACGCGAACACATATATAATTTACCGCAAAAGCATTCAAACCACAAATGGATAACAAAGACAAAGTGGAATGTTTATTGCTTAAAACAAAACGAGCAAACGCCATTACTATCTATTTAGTCCAGCAAGAAATTAAAATTTTGCACCTTTTTTTTTTAAATTCCAAGTGGAGAAATTTTTTAAATATTCTGTTATTTTGAACTACGTAAAAAGTCATATACCTAAATAAATAATTGTAATAAATTTAATTTTGGCAATAACATTTTTTTATTGTTGTTAGTATAATTAACAAGTTTGTATTATACATTTGAATACATAATGCGAAAACTAATGACCAATTAATAGTTAACGCATTTTCAGTCAATAGCGTGTAGGTATGTATTAGTTGGGGCTTGTGTTTACCCTATTAAATTTAATCCCCATTAAACGCAAACAAAAATAACAAAAACCCAGATACAATAGAACATTTAAATTAATTTTTACAGTTATTGTATTAAGTCGACACTAATCATGTATACAAGTACAATTTGTTAATTCAAATCTCAAAAATGATGTTAGCAAAATACAAATAAAATTATTTTATTTACTTCATTTACTTAAGTTGCGATTTCTTGAAATTACTTATAAAATTAACCGAAAACTATGCCAACAAAAACAACACCAAAGTACTTTAAAATGTACATTTTTTTAAAAATAATTTTAATAATTCATTGTACACTTCCACTCTGTGGCTAGGAACGGCCATGCTCATTTTACAGAAACTGTAATTTGTTACAACCGAGACTTCTACTGCTTCCCTCCCCCAGCTTTCTTTCTCTCTAATTCCGCATTAACATAATTGTAATGCATTTTTAAAGTAAGTCTCTCTCTCTCTCTCGTCTACCTCCCGTTCACGGGGTGAATTTGCGTTTAAACTTTATTAGCCGGAATTTCGAAAATGTTTACTTGAAAGTCCCCCGAATGGAACAATTTAAATAAAAGCTCTCGTCGTAAAATGTAAATGGTTTACAAATGTATAGACTTAACATTTAATAGTAGTTTTAAATATTTTCCAGTTATTTCAAAGGTACAACACGGGTTATTCGCTATAAAATCAATGCAATTTATTATTATGCTTTGCTAGAATATTTATAAGTTTGAAATAAAAATGTAATTGTTAAGATTGTTGCCCTCACCTTCACAATATAAGGTCATTTATTACTATACACTATACAAGTTACCGACTTTATTTGGCTCACTGTTGTCTCATTATTGTAATTTGTACATGTTCATATTTTAGGACAGAATTTTTAACTTTCAAAGTCCAAACACAACTGATATTTCATAACTATAAAAGCTGCCACGCGGATAGTACATTAATTGTATTCGCTGATATTTACACAAGTCGATACGTTAACTAACTTTTATTGAATAGCATAGTAGCATAATAAAATGTCTATAGATTGCGAATATGGCCGGGGAAACTGAGGGGCTACGGAAGTAGTTTTTAAATAAAAACTTAAGAACCTGTGCACGTGTAACACAACAAAAACGCGGGTTTTGTATTTTAAAATAGGTTACGGTTATTAAATGCAAACATAATATTAGTATAGCTACGGTTGCTGGGTGTATGTTTGTATATAAAAGTTATTAAAATATGATTCGGTGCGTCTCACAATTTTGAGGAGCACAGAGTAAACTCTAGGCTAGGGCAGGGTGTGCTACAGATGTATCCGGAGGCTATAGTAAAGGTACAATCGTTTCGCTGGGTCCTCTTCGTCAGTGGAATCCCCGAAGGCAAGTGAGCACACGGTTTAATTAGGTTCCATGACGACATGGGGACAGAGATGGTAGAGGATGAGGAGATAAAAAAAGGAGAGAGACAAACCACTTCAACCAGTCTCCACGGACGGCGGTCGTATTTATATTTAATTTTCCCCACTACAACCGCCTATAATGTACATTATAACAATTGTCCTGTAAAAATGAATTATTTCTTAATAATATTCACCATAAAAAAAACCGGGAAAATGATCAAACAACCAACTAAGCGTGTAACCAACAAATGTTTGCAATGCTAGAAAAAAATCGTAAAACATATAAACATGCGACTTTTAATGATTGAATTTCATCTTTCTTTGTTATTGTAACAAGCATAACGAAAAACGGGCCACAAGTTTACAAGAGTACAATAATTTTTAACTATAAATCAATAAATTATATTTTTCGAAAAAATTACATGAATTCATTCAATTGCATGCATATGATCTATAATGACATTTTTCTAATTAGCTTATTTTTAGTAAAATTATTTTAAATACATTTTTATCGAACCTTTTTTGACATTTGTAAACAATTGCGAAATAGTCATAAATAGACTAGTTTTGTAGGAATAATCCCTATAATATAACCCACTTGCGACACGGAAATAGGGTGAGTAATCAAGACCAAACTTAGCCAAAATTACTTTCTTATTACAATGAAAAAAAACGAGGTAGAAGGAAGGGGTCCTTCAGCTTAAAAAAAGTCCAATGCATACAGTTTCGAAACAAATATGAAATAAATATTGGCCTCGATGTTTAAAACTAAATACTATATTAATTATTGAATACTGAGTTCCGAAAAATTAAGTTATGGAATATTTAAAATTACTTTGTTTATACTAAAAAGTATACTATAATTATTATTTAAGAGGTTAAAAATAACGATTATCTATAAGTTATAATATCTATTACTAATATTCATCTATATCATCATCAATATTATCTTGCCCAGATAATATTTTATTTAGGTAAATATGTATTATCTAATCTAGATAACTGTTGAGTTATTTATGTGTTTAACGCATATTCGTATGTATTTTAAACAAATACGCAGGTGTTTTGGGGCAAGCTTGCTCTAGCAATACTTGCAACATACTCAGACTTATGTATGTGTGTGTGAAAAGGGAGCGTGGTGTGGATGATTGGTCTCGTACCTGTTCTCCATAAATTACTACTGGGTGACATTCAGCGTGTCTATATGTGGTCTGTTGCAACCACACACGGTTACTGTGTGACCAAATAAATTGTTTTTATTTTTTTTTTAAATTGCACAAAGAAAGGGTATACGCGTACATTAACGCTTATCGTTCATTTTGCAGACTTCGCAAATAGTGGCAAAGCGGGTGTGGAAAGGGGTACCGGACAGTAAACGATTGTAGTGGATAATGTGATCCATAAAAACCTCGATAGAGCACGTAGAGGTATGTATGTACAAAGACTTGCATGCGCGAGCGTGCGAGGTAGAAGAATGCGTTAAAATAAAAAAAATAAAAACCCCAAGCCTTATAGAGGTTATTCGGGCAATTAGTAACGACACTTTACAGCAATAATAATAATAAAAAACAAATTAATGTTCGTGACTTTTGGCACTTTGGCCGACACATACAACCGAAAGCAACCGTTGCTGTCGCTCGCACGATATTCGGTGGCGGCGTGTGAGAAAATCGCGTGGCCGAAGATCGTGTATTTCCGTGAGCTTTAGGGAGGGGGAGGGGGTTAAAGGCTCAACATTATCTTTTGATCGATGTTTTTTTTTTTATTAAAAAAACAAAACAAAATGTAAGAAAATATTATAATATCGAGGTCTGTCTGTGAATATAAACACAGCTAATAAAGACCGCGCCGTCGGGGGCGTGTAATGGAGGTCGGGCAATTTTTTTGCTAAAAAAAAAAATAACAAAAAACAAACTCATCCGGACGTTTTGATAAATGAGGTTTGTTTTACTTCTCGTCAGCCATCGTCATAATTCTGGATATCGTCTCCGCCGCCGGAGGCACTTTTTCACCCCTACGTTACCCACGTCCCCCCAAACAGTAATGAAATTGCAGCCCCTCGTCCTCACGATCACTTGGAAAAAAAGGAGATCGGAGGAAGCAATTTGCATAATCCTCGACACATTTCACCCTAGTCAAAGAAAAAAAAAGAAAACAGAAAAATGGCAAGCTTTTAATTCGTGCCAACGAAAAGTTAGAAACGATTCTTTAGACAAAAAAGGGTAATATATACATAATATAATATAAACCCATCCCCTTTCAATGAAATAACGATAAAGCTTAAGTCCATTGTAATGAATTTAAAACATAAATAACCCAACTTTTTCTTATAGTCATAATTTATGATAATAATTAATATATGTTTAAATAATTTTTTATCCAATTATTATTGGCCAACATTAATTTAAAACTAAACCACCCTTCAAATATGAATGTGAATACGAATTTGATAATTGTTGGATGCGCCCACGACATTGTTAAGTACTGACGTATATTATTGGGTAGTTTTTTTTAACTCGCTGAACGTCCAAGTACAATAATGTCTTTCAACGTTCACTCTAATGAGGGAGGCACTGACCAATAAACCAGAAGAAACACGATAGGCGGATTAAAACAATATATATAGATATATAATGTATAACAACTTTTTATTTTTAATGGCTTCATTTATAGTCGTATTTCTTTAGAGCCTCATAAATTGTCGGTTTATAGCATACTACATCGGAGAGCAACACATTAAGCTGAATAAAAATCTGGTCCATCGTGTATTTGCTATGTTGGTTATATTTTCATGGTCGTCAATGCGTCGGTGTTAATAAAAAAAAATGCCGAGAAATGGCTGTTACCCTAGTGATTAAAATAAATAAATTAATAAAAAAAATATAATAAAAATTACATTGAAACCGTACCTTCTATGCCAACTCATTTATGAAACAAAAAATACCATCTGATTTTCGCATCGAAGCTTAAATTGTTAACGCGAAACAAAGCGGGTATAATAAATAATAATATAAAAATCATGACTCACCGTGTATCTTATGCACCGTGGTGGCAAAGAGTAGTCCGAGTACCGGTAGTACAATCATAGTGTTTCGATTAACTGCTGCACACTGTGGAACAGTAAAATACATGAATTAGTATTTTTTTATTAAACATATTATTAAATATTGTTGAAGTTTAAAAATGAATTACTGATTGTAAGTTAAATCAGCGTTACATAAATTACTAATAGATTTTTGTTAAACCTAATCTTATAAATACAAAAATATATTAAAGTATTAGATAAAGATTATGGGTTTTAACTTATGATTCATTTCGTAGCACTAAAATATGAATTTATAATCTATAATAGACGTTTGAAACGTGTAATTTTCGACAAGATTATATACATAAAAATTAAACAAGTGCTTAGAACGTGAAATAATTCTCAGAAAAAAAAACAATACCTAATGGAATAAATGTTAAATAAATCTAAGTAAACGATAAAATAATAATTATTATTCAATTGCGTATGACGTTAGTTGTAAAACGTACACGGCAGTCAATTAAAATGTTCAGTATATTTTCCATCTCATCTGCTATAGCAGTGCAACCAAACCCCCTCATCATCCCATCAGCATTATGTTTTCATCATATTTACTCACCGGCGTTTCATTTAACACATAAACGCATGAAATCCCTTTCGTTGCATTGTTCTAGTAATATAAACGACTACCACCTACCTATTCTTTATGCTAAACCTATTTTGATGTATGTACTGGTTTCCAGCCGGTTTTATTTGTTTATATAATATTAGTACGGAAATCCGCACATATTTCATTAGGGTATATATATAAAATATATATGGTGCGCGTTAAGTACAACCATAATGCAATCCAACCATAAAATAAAAAATTCCACATGCTAAAATCTGAACAGAGATTTTTTTTTTAAAAGAAAAATAAATCCCAGTTTATTATTTTTACCATACAAAAAACGATAAAAATATTTTATTTTTCGATCTTCTGTAAGGAATGTATTTGTTGTTTTTTTTTTTTTGCTCTTTTCACATCGTCGGTTATCGTTTCGCACAGCGCCAAAGGGATTTTGAGACGTGAACGCTGAGGAGAATCGTTATCTACAAAACGTTACATCCTGTTGTCGTCGCGCAGTGGAAATCTGTCGGTTATAATAACTGTGGATAATACACCCCTCTACTCCCCCCGTCACTGGTTGCAGCGGCAGCCACTTATTCCAACAGCCATTACCATTTCCTCGTCTTAATCTAACGAGCCCATTCTTCCCTTATAGTTAACCGAAACAGCCATAATAATCAATTAGACTATATCAACGTTGACAACGAAAAACGTCATCCTACTCTTAGCTGGTGCACATACTACAGTGAACACAGTTATTATTTTATCTCAATAATAATAATTGACGTTACCAAGAGAGGTGCGGTGCGGTGCAGCGATGAAAAGTAAAGTTACAGAATAATGTTTCAACTCGGGCGGCACGGCGTATACGACTTATAAAAATGAATTTATAAAATATTTACTTAATCTTATATTGTCACTTTTTTTAAATTACTGACGTCTTGTACAGTTTAAAACTTTTATAAAAGTAGAATCGAAAACTTTTGTTTTTTGAGATTACATTAAAACTAATTTTTTATAACTCTTATAAACATGCAATTATAGGATTTATATAAATAATATATATATATATATACCTAATACTTCTTTGTAAAGTAAAATAATCAAATTAATGATGAATAATTAAAGTATACTAAAGAGTAAAGTTTAAACACAAATGCAAGATGAATACAATTATGCAGAGACAAGGCGTAATGAGGCATATTAAATTACTGTTATATATACTTATAGTTAAAGAACAAATTTAATCAATTCAATCGCATAATAAAGATCAACCATATTTTGTAGTAATTGTAAACAACAAATTTAGATATCAAACAAAATATAAACTAGTCGAAATCAGTGTTGCAATCGGGTTAACGATTAATGTAATCATGATAATATTTGATGATTAAGATTTACTTTAGTTTTAAACTAGCAACAACCCTTATTACTATTGTTTTATACATCCAAATGTTTCTATTTTATAAATTATTTGGATAACGCCTTATTTTTTTTTAGGGTTTCTAATTATATACATACATTACATTTACTTAAATACTTAATAAAACCTTAGGACGTTTAAAACAAATGTCATCATTAATCATATCATGATTAAAATTCGCATCATTATTACTGATTACTTTTAACAATAATTTATTTATTTTTTGTAATCGATTATGTAATTTAACCATAAAGTTAGTCAACGTGGGAACTCACCGAGATGTATCAGTGATTGTATACATAGTTTAATTAAAATTTCATTCGAACTAAGCAGTGACCAAATATACATAAAGGCGGACAGAACTTAGGGTTCTGTAAGGCCAAATTCTTCTGTTTGCGGCCATCTACGAAAACAATACACAGTCTGTGTTTTGCGTTTAAACAAAAAGGCTATATAGGAAACACGCGGCAGTGGAAAAGACAACACAGACAGAACCACCAAGTCTAATTGGCCTTTGTTGTCGGCACGCGTTTCAGCTAGTTAGTGCGGCTCTTCGCCTAATAGATCACGGTGGTGGATAAAAAGAAAGGGAGAGCGAAATGAGTCTAATTGAAAACGCACCGAGTTAGTGTGTATAGGCCTTACAGACGAGGGCGAACCCTCTCGTTTTATGTCATCGCCAACAGCATACCGGAGTGATGAGTGTTATATTGAAGAGCACTTACAAACTTTGTCGTGTGGTTTATACGAATAATTCATTCAACAAAAATTACAAATACCACTATAGGTAAAGAAAAAAATTCAAGTCATTACAAAAAAAAAAAAATAACATAATATATATATATAGTAAGGGTAATAAGACTTGAAATGGTTTTATCATTGAGTTGTACCTACTGCTCATCATGTACGGTCAGAACCCTTCCACGATACATCAAGACTCCGTCATAATAAAAACGCTCCCTATTTGTACTCGGATACTATATTAAAGAATAAATAAAACTCAAGTGAAATACCAAGACAGAGTTAATATGAATATTACATTACACGTTTGCAATTTATCAAGTCATGACGTATGTAATGTAATAAATTATACTAGTCATAAAATATACTTACAAAAGATCATGCCAATAATATTATATATACTATGCGATAATTGGGTATAACTATTTTGTTTTTATAAAAAAAAAAAAAAACAAATAACTCTAAACCAGAATAATTAATAAATACTAAAAATGGACTAGTCGATTCAATCGTTTTTATTTAGTTCGGTTATAATACGACGTAAATACAACTCAAACCATTGTATCCAACAGATAATTATAATCGTTTATAGACGTGATACAGGTAGTGCATTTATTCAGTTTCTTGGCTATTGTTTTATTAAAAATGAATTCCTCAGTAAAGAAAATGTATGACAATCGACACAAATGCTTGGCGAGGAAAATAATAAAAACGACCGACTGCATTATTTCAAAAGTAAAAAAATATGTTTCAAGCACATTTCTTCAGCTTAGATAATACAACTGATAATATAGAACATACCGCTTTTGAAGTCGGCTATCTATTCTTATTCATCAGTATTATATTTGCACTTAGTATTCATTTAATATTTGCATTAATTAAAACGGTTTATTTAAAAAAAAAAACTAATAACAAGGAATATATATTAAAAGGCAACCACCAATTAGTCTATTTGCTAATAATACGTTAAATGTTTAAAACTAGAAATGAGTATTTGAAACTCATTTCATTATTTTTTAAACATTTAAACATTTGTTTTTTAATTTTCCGTAGTTAAGTTTCTTATATTATATTATATTTTATTTTATAGACACTAACAATTGTTTTTTATTTAGATTTTAACCAGAGATCAAAATTGAAAATTAAATAAAATAATCATTGAGAATTTCTACATCAAGCGATAATTTAAAACGATTTCTTTTAATTTTGCAATAATTTCTATAGTCTTGCACAAATATTTTTATTTATTTACTTATTACAATTTTTTTTCATAATTCGTTACATTAATGTTATTGCCACATTCTTTGTAAAGTAATAATAGATGAAAATTGCATTATTAAATTGTATTACCCTGCCTGTCGTGTTCAATATAATATTGTAATCATTGATCATCTAGCAAAAATTATATTAAAATATCACAAAATAATAAGATAAAAGAATTTAAAAATGTCTAATAAATTATATTGTTATTCAGGAAATATTGATGTTTACACTGACTTCGCTTATTTCCTACTTTCTATGAGGTATATACGATATTGTCGATAAAAATTAAAAAAGCCTTAATAAATTATTATGAGCAACGCTCTGTGATTTTAAAAATGCATTTTTTTATGAATATTTCATAATAAAAACATTTATAAATAATTGTTAGTTTAAAAAAAAAGTCCCAATAACAGATTATTTTCATTACATAATAATACCTAAGAAGTAGTTTGATGTTTTTGACTAAAATAAATTGAGTAGGGCTAAAACCCGATTAATGACCCAAGCAAAACTAAAACCGATATTCGTATATTTTTTTTATAAAAAAGCTTGACAACTAAAAATATTTATTTCCTCTTTTCGCAACCATTAAAAATTAATCGTTAGGTACGTTAACATTATAGTGGCTAGACATTTTGAGTTATTGGTTATTTTTAAAGTATACTAAAAAATTCGTGTAGGTTTAATCTAATGCATTATGCAAGACATATACAAATTTGAAATATATATAAAAAAAATAGAATGTAAACATTTATCATTTTTTTTTTTTGTAAGTACAACATTATTTTCTAGTAATAATTACCGCATTTGACGCGCAGTTGTTAAGTCATGCGATTTCATTTCTAGTGTGAGGCATCCTAGACTTGTTTAACAAATTTTAAGTGAGTAACAATAACATCAATTAATCTTTTGTCGTAATAATAATAATCATATTATTTCCCCTCGGTTTTCAGCTGTACAGATACAAGTCACGGTAGATAACCGGCAACTTTGAGAGATACCCATTATATATTATTATTTTACTCCATGGATTACACTACAGTGAAGT